AAGCCTTTCAGCCGCGCTAGAGGAACGATGTTCAAGAGATGGCGTGGTCTTGCGAGGGTTCTATTGATCGGCCTCGACTGACACGAGGAACCGTTCGTGCCGGCGCCACAACCGCAGGTGCAAAAAGCCATGAGCTCGCTCGTGGAAGGACGCTGGACGATGCAGCCTTATTTTTGTGAGTGGAGGGCCGAGCAGCAGCTTCGTCGGATTGAGTTGACCTGTGGGTGATGCGGCCTGCTCATGCACAAATAAAGAGAGCTGTGACTGACGACAGAGTAAGGAACTGGAGAAATTATGGAATTGGCGGATGCCAATTTGGATGTCACGACGGATGGGAAAGTGTACGGCAACATAGGCACCTGCTGTCCGGGCCCCTCCTCAGTGCTGTGGCACCTACAACGTTGGTGACAAAGAGCTTGCATGGGCGAGGAAGCAGCCGCCAGGCAGGCAGCCAGGCAGAAGGTCCCCCCGCAAACAGGGGACCACCTTCCCGAAGAAGGAGACGAACCGCTTTGCCGTGGACAATTGAACCGAGACTGACGTCGAGTCAGCCCAGTGAGGTGCGAGGTCCCTGGCCTGGTCTGGTCTCCTGGCTAAGCAGATTGCCGTGTCCTGCGCCGGCGCGAAAAGTCAGGGCCTTCAGTCCCTGATCTCGTCCTTGCGCTACCGGGCCTGCCCACCTTCTCCTCCTTTAACTGCCTCCTCAACTCTGCTCCTTGGGTCGAAATCCTGCCCATACGAACTGTCCACGGCTCCTCAAGCATTCGGATTTCTTGCTCGCCAGTCGCACGCCCGTCCCACACTGCGCTTCCCTACTTTGCCCTCCCCTCCCACAAGAGCGTGGATCGTCGCTCGCTTCGACCACTACCACGACCATGCCCCCAGCGAAAACTGCCAAGGGCGGCCATGATGACGGCAAAGGAGACTCTGCAGGTGCCAAAGAGAAGAACGGACACGGCAGCCACCTCACGAACGGCAAGATGCGACGAGTAGCGAGTGCTACAGGTGGTTCCCAGCTCCGCGAGGTCACCAACGCCAGTGCCTCCAAAACAACGACTGCAAAAGAGGAGGCAACCCCGCCGAGCGTACGCAAATAACTCTCCGCCCCTCTGTGCTTCCAGCCCTGCTAACACTCGCTCTTCTGTCAGATCTCTTGGAAATCCTTCGACCGCGACATGCTGCATGCCTACCGTCGCGAACACCGACTCGACACACCTACGTCCTTCTCCAGTTCCTACCGACACATGATCCTGTCACAACCGGGCTGCATCGGCCTCCACTCTCCGACAATGGCCCGCAGAAGGCAAGACAGGCGGCAGAGCAAAGAGCAGCTGGCATTGGCGGTGCGCAAGCATTTCAATGGTGCGGGCATCCAGGAGAACGACGCCATTGTGGACTTCATCCACAGAGTACACAGCCAAAGCTTGACCCGGGCAGACAAGCAGCGAAGGCCACCCCCAGCACTGGATGTCGAAAAGTGAAGGCATGGCACATGTGTTTGAAAGAGCATCTGGATGATACCCCTCAGGTTATTGGCAGAAAGGGAGCGTGGGAGGCATTGCGGACAAAGAGCTTGTCATGTGCACTCTTTGCCCCTTCATGATGCCGTCGGCGTTTTGGTTTCGAAGCCCATCTCGGCACGGCACAGCAACGGCACAGACATGGCAGGTCGACATGAATTGCAGCGATCATGTCTGCGTATGAATCTTCTTTGATATCACGGGCGTTTGGGGACATTTACAGGGGTTTTTTTTATACTATAATCTCCGCAATTGAAGACATCTTAACATCTCCTGCGTCGATTTTCTGGCTCGCATGGCTTGGATTTCTCAGCCATTTCGGCTAGAGTTGGCTGGTGACCTCAGGCTCGACCTCCTGACCCTGCATTTAGCGGGCATGGCGCGTCATAGCTACGACCATGCCGCCCCTCGCGCGTGGGTCCTGGGCAGGTACCTACCTCCCCCACGAGCCCAAGGTGAGAGTCTAGGTACCGGACATGCCACAGCGGCCTGCGAACCACTGCAACGCCGTGGGATACCGCTGACGCGAACCTGCCCCTCCAGCCCGCCAATTGCCGCTCGTCATTCTGGCCTAAGGTATCCACCCTCGGCTTAAGGCCGGCAAAGAAAAAGTTGCGATGTCGTCTGGCGGCACCTTCGCATCTGTGCACAGGCGGCAGGTGCACCCAGAGGGTCGTCAGGAGTGTATGGGACCTCAACTCGGCTCAACTTTCGAACTCGACAGAATTTCCTCGACTCTTCTATCAACGCGGTCACGACACGCTTCGCACCATCCCACCAACGGCATACTCTGCATATCACTACACACTCGTTTTGTTAGATCTGCGCATCTGTCGCCGTGCCTATTTTTTCAATGCTATTCTGACTAACAGGCGTTCGACATGAACACAAGTAGTCTGTTAACCAAGGCTGCAGCGGCCCCGAGCCGTCTGCTTCCCGTCCGAGCTTGTCGACGACCCAAGTTGGGGGAACCTCTCTGTAAACATGCGCAGATTCACACCGCAGCTTTTGCAGCTTCTTCCAGGCCGTCTGTTCGATACCTGTCACCTGCGAACAGCTCGGCCCCATCTTCGAAACGAGTATGTACCGTCGCCTTCCCTGCCTCAACCTTTAAAAAAAAAAAGTGTCGTCCGCTGACTGCCACGTCCCAGGCTTTCCATGCATCGCCAACCAACCTCGCAACGAAAGACCCGTACAAAGCACTAGGAGTCGGCAAATCAGCTTCGGCTTCCGAGATTAAGAAGGCCTACTACGGCCTCGCAAAGAAGTATCATCCCGACACCAACAAGGACGCCTCGGCCAAGGAAACATTCGGCGAGATCCAGTCCGCCTACGAGATTCTCTCCGATCCTGCGAAGAAGCAACAGTATGACCAGTTCGGCGCCGCCGGCTTCGATCCCAGTGGTGGAGGTGGACCCGGTGGCTTTGGCGGAGGCGACCCCTTTGGCGGCGGTAATCCCTTCCACGGCTTTGGAGGCCAGGCCGGCGGCGGGTTCGGCGGAGGCTTCAACTTTGACGACATCTTTTCGGCTTTCACGGGCGGTCAGGGCGGACCCTTTGGTGGTGGTCGCGGACGCGGTGGACGCAACCCGTTCCGCGAGGAGGTGCTTGTCGGCGACAACATCGAGGTGCACGCCAGCATCTCCTTCATGGAGGCCGCCAAGGGTGTCGCCAAGACTCTCCACATCACGCCTCTGTCCACCTGCGGCACCTGCTCTGGCAGCGGTCTCAAGGCTGGCACGAAGCGCACCGAGTGCAAGACATGTCACGGCACCGGCACCCGCGTGCACACAATGAACGGCGGCTTCCAGATGGCCTCGACGTGCGGCTCCTGCGGCGGCACGGGCTCTACGGTGCCCCGCGGCGGCGAGTGCAAACCCTGCTCTGGCAACGGTGTCGTTCGCGAGCGCAAGACGATCACTGTCGATATTCCCGCTGGTATTGAAGACGGCATGCGCCTCCGCGTCGACGGTAGTGGCGATGCGCCCGTGACCGGAAAGGCTGCGGACCCCAACGTGCGCGCGCAAAAGGGCGACCTATATGTCTTTGTGCGCGTCGCATCAGACCCCAAGTTCCGTCGCGCTGGCTCCGACATTCTGTACACGGCCAATTTGCCCATCACGACGGCCATGCTCGGCGGCGAAGTCACGATACCGACATTGACAGGCCAGGTCAACGTCAAGGTGGCCACCGGCACAAGCACGGGCGATCGCCTGACGCTGTCAGGCATGGGCATGAAGAAGCTCAGTGGTCGTGGCGGATCGGGCGATCTCAAGGTCGAGTTCCGTGTCAGCATGCCCAAGTATCTCAGTGCCAACCAGCGCACGCTGATTGAAATGCTGGCCAACGAGATGGGCGACAAGACGGCCAAGCGTATCATGAATGTCTCGCCGACTGGGTAAGTCGCGGTGCTCATCGGCACTCACACGAAGGCAATCACTGACATGACACAGATCGACCGTTGACCCTGACGCCTCCGACTCGCACAAGAACGAGGGCTTCCTCAAGTCCATGTGGCACACTCTCACGAACCACCCGGCACACAACAAGTCCGAAACCGACGCCAGCGGCAGCGGCACCGGCACCGGCAGCTCGACTGACAAGCCGGCCGAGAAGCCCACCGAGAAGCCGGCCGAGAAGAAGGACGAACCCCCGAAGAAGCCAGACTCGCCCTGAAGCACTTGCCGAAATTTATAACAAGACAATGTACCATATTGCCGGTTGACCTCCGGCTCAACGACCAAGCTCCCCACCCAAAATGAGAAACCTATTCCAACACATGGAAAGGTGGGACCAACGCACCACGGTGCCGTACCACCGACAGGGTCCGTCGTTTCGCGCGGTTCGAGAAGCCCGAGAACAAGAATCAGGAACACACACAAACTCCCCCTACCGACACCCACCAAAAGAGCTGCGCCTGGACGAGAGGGCCGCGAGCAATTGTATACCAGGGTTTTTATCTTTCCTTCTTGATCTTTGTACCATAGAGACATAGACGGGGACGGCGCCGACAGTCTGGGAGCTGGCGGGGCTGCTCTTGCGGAGGCTACTCACACCTCATTGTAAAACTGTTAAATCTGTGTGACGATTTGCAGAGTGCTACGCAGTGTGATGAGATGATGGCACTGAGGCACAGCGGGCGATGGCGTAGTAGTACTTCGACCCGTTGTTGCCGATTTTGAGGTGAACCGAAGAGAATGCAACACCGTTGCTACGTCCACGATCTTGGATGCACGGTCAACATGCTAGAATCGACGTCAAGCTCAATTATGGCTGCTAGCTTTGACTCCGTCACTCGCACAAACAGGGAGAGCACGACCGTTACGTTGCGTTTATCCTCTTGGCTGTCCATTGATACTCCATGTGTATATGTATCGTCTAGATGTCAAACGCCCCATGACGCCCGACACATGCAGAGTCCTCCTAATTTCCACACCCATCTTTTACCCCCAATCCACGCCCCAACCCATTCTTCTACAACTATTTCCACGCGTTCAGCCCCGCCCATGGGTCGTTACCCTGTCCCGGCTGTGCGCTCGATGGATGTCCGCTCTGTGGGTAAGCGCTGTTCGGGTATGCGCTCGACGGGTTGTTTTGCTGCTGCTGCTGCTGCTGTCCGTAAAAGGTCTGCTGGGGTCCCAGGGGAGGAGGGCCCGGGGGAGGAGGCGGCGGCACAAAGCCGGGCGGCATCTGGCCTTGGGAAAGGCTGTGCGAGTGGCTATGCTGCTGTGGTTGTTGGCCGCTTGACCAGCCGCCGTACGGTTGCTGACTTTGCCCGAAGGATGTCTGAGTTGGCGGTGGTGACGCGGGTCCCCGGAGTACTGTGGGGCCGAAGGTCGACTGGTGCGGGGGTGGAGACGTAGGCCCCGGTGTGCGGCCGTATTGGCTTGGGTTGTAGGCAGGCTGGCCGTATGTGTTCGCAGACTGCGGCGTGAAAGATTGCGTATTGGGGGGTGCCGCGAAGCTGGGATACTGCTGCTGTTGCATGCTCCTCTGCGTAGGGGGAGGCGACTGAGGGACCTGGTATTGGCCTTGGAAATTGGCCTGTGGGTATCGAGGTACCGAGTTGGAAGAAGAGTTCGGCTGAGTGAAGTTCAATGGGCTGGGTATTGGCCTGTTGGAAGGTGGCTTCTGCCCAGAGCTATTGGGGTCCATCGACATGCGCTCCATCAACCCTCTCAGGCGCTCGCGCTCAGTCTCAGCATGCGAGTCTTTGCGAGTCGACTTGTCTTGTTCGATCTGGTTGAGAAGTTGTGCACCCTCGGATCGGCGGTTGTTGACAAACGTCTCGACGTTCTTTTCCAAGCTTTGAACCGTCTCTTTCATCTCGGCGTACCAGCGCTTCGCGCCCTGAAGGCCGGCCGACAGGTCGAGGAATTCCTGGTATGCACGCTTGTACCTGTTGATAGCCGATGCTCTTTGCCTTTGGATTACCTCGTACTTGCTCTGTTCAGATCGAACCCGCTTGTCTTGGAGTAGAGTATTGAAAGACGAGTTGAGTTCCTTCATGAAGGCTGATTGTTTTTGGTTTGCCTGAAGCAGTCGGTTCTGCAGAGGGCGAAACTTTTCGAGCTCCGATTGGAAGAGCTGTTGCTCATAGTTGGCAATATTCTTCTTGTTGAGGATGAGAATTTCAGAAATGTCGTCGTTGTGGACCTGATGCGATGTTAGCTCTGTGGCAGTGTATACACTTTTCGTGACAAACCTGTTCCTTGAGATCCTTCAGGGTTTGATTTCGTTCCCTCTTGACGAGATTCAGTTTCTTCATGACCTCTTCCACCAGTTTGATCTGTTCAACGACAGAGGGGCCCCCTTCGTCAAAATCGGCGTCCAGGAGGTTCGGCTCGTTCCCCATGGGACTGACGGCGCTGCTAGACTTGGAACGCGCCTTGTTCACAGCCCGCCGAAATAGTGCATCCACCTCACCGTTCCGCGATGCTTGACGCATCTCCTCAAAATCAACCTCATTCTGTCTCAGCTTGATGGACAGCTGATTGTCGCTTCGGGAAGCCTCTTCGAGTGCCTCGCGGTAATTGCGAATATCGCCTCTGAGAGTTGAGGTAAGGCGGGAGCTCGGCTGCTGCGACCATTCATTCTCGTACTTGGACCTCATTTTTTCACACACAACCTCCTCCATGTCGAGCTGTTTCGTGTTCCTCTCAAGCAGGGACACGATGGTTTCCTTCTCTGAGCGAAGTAGCTCAAATATCGACGTGGGACTTTCGTGATTGGCAACATCCTCACACCATTGCCTGAAGTCTTCGTCTGGGAGGACGTCCTGGTCAAACCCGCCCTTGAGAACCTGAAGCGCGCCAGGTAACCTCAAGTAGTCTAAGCTTGCGGCCATTTCGTCGTTTGCAATGTCAACCTTTTCGGACTCGGCTCGAATGAGCTTTGCTTTTTCCTCATCGTACAGACTGGCCATCTCCGTGACAGCGAAAGGCACGATTTTGGAGAACAGGTCCGGGCCCGTGATGCGCTGAATGTCCTGGCCAGCGTAGAGTTCGCTCACGGGAATCGGCTTGGCAGCTGGCAGCTTCCCGACAGGGGCGAGGCTTGCCTCCGCAGGGACGGTGTGGTGGTAGATGTAGTCGTTGTCCTTGATTAGCTCTCTAAGCTTTTCCTGCACCGTGGCGACGTGGCGTTTTGTCGATTCGGCCAAGATGCCGCCGGTATCCGACGTCAAGTTGGAGCTTGGCGGGCAGTTGCTAGGGAAGTTGCTCGCTGATCTATCGGCATCCTTGGCTTGGGTCTCGGCAAGTTGCAGACGTGCTATTGCAGTTCCGTATTGGCCAGTCTCGGCATCGGTGAGTGCTTGGTAGTACTGGGCCATGGAGCTTAGAAGATTCGATTTGACCTTCTCGTGTCAGCAGAGTCAACGATGGATGGGAGTACTATACATTCATACCTGGACCATCAGGAGCCAGACCCTCTCGAAAATGCCTTTATTGACATTCTCCTGGGCGCCCTCTACTGCCTCCTTGTACAGAGAAGCCGCCTGGCTCGCAAGCTTGGCCAGCAGGGCAATCTTCTTCTGGTCCGCCACCTGCTTCTCGAGGAACACCTCTTGCGCTTGCGCCAGGTTGATACTGATCAACGTCTTGACAGTTTCCCGGCTCAGGTCGGAGGAGGGGGCGTGTAGAAAGTTCTCGTTGATGTAGGTGAACATGCCTGCAGAGGCCTGAAAGTTGTGGTACGCCGTCTTGAGGCCGGATTCGTCGGCTCTCGATTGATGGGCAGCATAGCACGAGAGAACAGCAGAGATATTGAAGATGATAGAAGCTTTCTCAAAGGCGAGAGAGTATTGCGACGTCAGCTTATGGGTGAAGGCGTCATACCTGGTGGCGCCATGTCAGCACGGCGTCATTCAAGAAGAGAGATGGATGCATTCAACATGTAGATATAAATCTTGATGTGTAGATCTACAACTGAAATCTCTAGCCATGATCTCCAGATGTCCATATAGCTGTATAACATGTCTCTACCGGAGTATCTGTATATACAGCATCCCGATATTCGTGTCTGTAGCGAT